AAATTTAAATTTTAAATGTCCAAGAAGTCGGCAAATGGATCGCTCAAAAACCTATCGTGTAACATAATTTTTATTGTTTGCATGTATTTGCTTGCCAGATTTTTTCAATGTATTTTTGAGATGGTCCATTGTTGGCCTTGGCTCCCCACTGCTCTGGAGTGCCCGCGCTCCAGCCACTCGATGGAGGATGTTAAAACCGCTGTAAGTAACCAAGTTGCAGTTGTTGCCAACTGTTTTATTGCTGTTTCATTCTTTGGCGGTCTGCTTTTTTTTGTTATTGAAAAGTGTGACATTAAAGGGTATTTATCTTGAAATATTCCTATAAATAAATGCAATCGATTGTGTGCCGAGAACTCATCAGTGGCAGTTGGTGAGGGCAAATCAATGGAAAAGCTCATCGAAATCAAAGGGAGGGTAAGGGACGTACAATTGCTAAATGCAACGCAAAAATGGCAACTAATTAGGAGAGAAGCACGACCGCGACACCGTTTGATATGGTTTCCTCATTAGGCAGTGGCAGTGTCTGTACCTTGGGAGAGGAATATGAAATGCATTAAATTTAAGAGAGAGCATCAGCATGGGAGATGCGGCAGCGGCAGATAGACAGATGGACTTTAAAGAGAAACACAAACAGAAAGCATGCATTGATTTATTGCCTTACGGGGGATCGGGATCCCCTGCGATGCTTTGTTCGCCGGTGCATGAATGTCACTGCTGAGCCCAAAGGACAGCAAACACGGAATCTGGGAAAAGGGCACAGCGAAAAGAGAAACAGGGAGCTGGGAGCAGGGAGCAGGGTGCAGGGAATAGCGAAAGGGTTAAATGGCATTGAGCATTGGCAGAAAGGCAGAAAGACCAGCAACAAATATCAGAGGGACACAAACAATGGCCCCAAAGAGAGCAGCCAAAAGGAGTAGCACAGAAATCAGCGCACGTTAGCAATTAATAATGGGAGACCAAGTATTCAGAGTCGCAGTCCAAGCTCCAGTTGAAGGCAGGGTCGGTGTCGGTGTCTGCGTCTCCACCGGAGAGTTAGAGTCTGTAAAAGTCTCGGCAGTGTGGGAAACGGGGTAAATATTTGGCGGACGGCCTGCGTATGGGGACCTAAGCGCCCAAAAGAAAATCCCCAAAAACAAAAAAAGAGCAAAATAAAGGATTGGAAGATACAAATGTGATGTGGGATGCCCGAGGCAGAACAGAGAGAGCCCACAAAAAATGGGGCCCACAGATGTAGCCTGTCCAAAAGTGTTGTCGCCCAACTACATGCAATACAACAGCTTCTGGCGGAAAATGCTGGAAAATGTATGGCAAATGCTGCTCAATGGTCGCAATTTCGGTTCATAAATTATCCTTGGGGAAAGCATGGGAAATTGCGACTAAGCGAGGAAGAAGACTAGAAAAAAAAGTATCACAATAGCAAGGTGCACTTATAGAGGGTAGAGCAAGTCTTTGAGAACGATTGCCGATTCCTCTTCCTGGGTATCCACAGCAGAATACATACATGGGAAGCCAGTCTACACTCTCTCTCTCTGTCACCCTCCCAATCAGGCCTAGAAGCTACGTCAATACCATTCTTTATTGGGCAAAACAGAATGGCCATGCGACAGAAGTATCGGTAGCTTCTGAGCCCTGCTCTGCTCTCTCTCTCTACTTATTCTAGATAATTGAACCAAAGATCAAACCAGCGTTTCGTTCTCTTCTGCTGGACAACGGAGGATAGTTTATTCGTTCACTTCTAGATTCCATAATGGGGTGCCTCTCTTTGGCTTTAAGGGAATACGATCCCCTGGTTTTTCATGCATTTCCTTTTACCCTACAGTTTCTGTTTTAACTCCAACATTGGCTGTGTGCATTTCCATTCATTCAGCCATTAAAGCCATTAACCCCGAGACACGCTGACAGTTGCATAATATTAAAATTAAATGCCACGTACACGACACCCCGCATGCCCACCCCATGCAGCATCGCAGCACACACACACACACACACACACATGGCTGTCTGTGTAATTATTAATTTCTAAAAAGCCATTCTAAAATAATATAATTTGAAAATGCGCTCGCCGACGTGCTCGACTCTCCGGTTGAATGTCCGTCCAGAGGAGGCCGCCACCAATGACCAACGGACAGCGCTGCTGCTCAGTTACAAATGTTGTTAGGACATTAATTTATGTGCGAGTGCGTGTGTGTGTGTGTGTGTGTGTGTGTGGATGTGCAAGTACCGCCACCAGAACCAAATCAATATTCCCGCAGCGTAAGGAAAAATATGCCAAATGTCCAAAAACGTTCCGCCGCCCTCCGCCATTCACTATTTTGGCCCGTTTTGATTTAAAAGCTCACGCACATATGGAAATGGAACTAATCCTAATTTAAATGTTTTTGCTCGCGCATTCCCATACCCCTCCCATTTTTCACACTCTCTTTCGCTGTCGTTTGAAGCGCCACATTTAGTTGTTGCAAAAATTGAACAGGAAATAGAGGGGACATGAGAAGCATGAGATACCCTGGATACAGATCGTGCCATATGCGACATTTTGTGCCTAATGAAAACTAAGCAATGTGATGGTTCAATGCAATTACGATTGATTATATTCGTTTGTAAAGTACTCCTACGATTTATTTATTTTATACTGCAAGCCACAGGCATACAGATGGATGCTGAACAGGAATACTCTATTCAATCTACGAGTATGTACAAATGCCTCCTTCTGTCTGTTGCGAAACTCTGTTGGAACCCCCTCAAATGGTAGAATAGACAAAAAAAAAAAGAGAAAGAATCGCTTTGCATAACAAATTCAATTAAATAGGCAGTGCTGTAGTGCATGAATTAAAAACATATTAAGCTTAATTGGAAAATGAAAATTTGGTTAACATACGAATAATACGAAGTATTAAGAGAATACTAAAAAATAGCCAACAATAAAAATATGTTAAATATTTAATTGCCACCGAACAATGAGCACACAAAGGACGCTCTTTTTTTGTGTTTGCTGTGGAATACAAAATAAAATTAAATTACTTCTGTTATGTCAACTAATTTGGGCTAGCAATGGAATTAATTTGAGGAAAAAAAATGGCAAATCAATTTGCAACAATAGATTGAACTTAATTTTCAAATACTTTGCCCCCTTTGACTTGCCATAAATTGTGGCATGACTGCCATAATAATTCCACATGCTGCCACAAATCTCCGCAATTCCCCAAATAGTTTTTAAAGCGCGTCAACAAAAAGAAAACAGAACAAACAGCAGAGGAAAACAGGCAACCGAACTACAATATGTTCTGTTCAAACAAGTTAAATCAAATATATTGCTTCGATTTGTTGCAAGCTTCTGTTGTTGCTGCAATTGTTGAAATGGGTTCGTTCGTTCGGTTGTGTTTTATTTCACTTTTTGTTGTTGTGGAAATTGCCAAACACAAAGTTCAACAGCAATTAAAATGGCCAGAAAAGCAGAGGAGCAGCAGTGGAAATGCTTTTGACCAACGACAAGAGAAACATTTGGGGCTGCTTATCTTCTAGTTGCCGCTAGTTAACAAACAACCCACACAGCACCAGCAAACATACACCAGCAACTACAACAAGCCATTGGGCAAGGGACATCATTCCAGGGAAACTTTGCACAGCATTCGCCTTTCCAAAGAAGCCATAAAAATGTTGCTCATGAGGCGGAGAAATGGTACATTGGCTGGAGTTGGACAGCACGGCGGGCAGAGAAGTACAGTGAAGGATCGAAAAGCAAACTGCTGAGGTAACTTAATATTTACATGAAAGCTGTAGATTTTCTTTGTTAACATTATGATTCACGCGCCAATCGGCATCAAATTTCATTCCTTGTGCAGAATCAGAGCTATCAGCTATCAGAGATGGCCCTGTGCGTTGAACCATGTCATCACTGTACCGCTGTGTGTCTCACTGTGGCACGTAAATCGCTGTAATAGAAACATTGCATTTTATTGCAGTTGTCTTCGTTCTTCTGGCTGTGCTTTCCTTGGCTTTTCCCCTGTTCTCTGTTCCCCGTTTTCCCCCTTTTTTGTTTTTGGCCAATAACATTCTGATAAATGGTCAGAACGGCTTTCGTGTCGATGTCCTTGAGGCAGTGGCAGCAGCAGCAGCAGCAGTAGCAGGAGGACCAGCTGCCCCGCACTCGAAGATATTTGTCTAAGCAGAGCGAGAACTTTTCAATTTCCACTAAAAGTGTTTTTCTTTCCTGCCGGCTGGCGGCTGCCGGCTGCCGGCAGCCTGCAACCCAAGCCAATCCTTTGTCCCCAGATCTTGATTATGTGGCAGGAGTGAAGCCAGCCACCTGTCGCGGTTGCACTTGCCACAGCAGCCCCTGCAGCTTCCATGGCAGATTATAAATGGTGTCAACCTTGCGGGTCTCTTCATCATGGCCTTGCCGCCACCTCCTCCCATTTGTCTGTGGCTTCTTTTTTTTGGGGCCGAGCACAAAAAATAAACTTTAATTAACTTAAGTACATGGCTACAGGCAATTTGATCGGTGTATTGCAGGGTATTTAGTGTGGGATAGTGGATATGCCATGGATTAGTTGCTTCAGCACTTTGTACGACTTTCTGTCTGACTCTCTCGTTTCGAAAGATTTGTGGCTTGGGGCAGCTTTTGGATGAGGGAAGATTGGACAGGATTGGTTCCCTATGTTATTGTATTTGTAGTTTTTTGAAGCACAACTGCAAATCGACTACATACACATCAGCTTCCCAGGGTACTTTGCGCTTCGCATGCCTCCCATTAACATTCTTTTTATATATATTTCGTACGTTCTCTTTGTTGCAACCACAATGAATAATGCAACTGTCCGGCGGTGATTGTGGAGACACATTTGCATGGAGTCCTCGGCAGTAGTCCTGTGCTGTGCTGAGTGCCGCCCCAGGAGTGTGGTTGCAGTCGCAAAAAGAAACACATGGGCAACACATTTGGCAAGTGTAGCCGCGCTAATGTCAATTTATTCCGCTTCTGCTTCTGTTCTGCTCTGCCCACCCCACTATTTGGTGTTCTCCTTCAGCCTGCGCCTGTGCCGCGCCAGATTCGCATAGACATCAGGCTTCCCGGCACAGCCAACCCTGCCAAGAATGCCGACCAGGCTGCCATTTACCAACAGAGGAGCGCCCTCGTCGAAGCAGCAGGCGCCAGTGCGACCAGACCCCAAGGTGCAGAGCGTCCGCTCGGAGATGCCTTGGATGAGGCTGAACTTGCCAAAGATCGATCGATCCCCGGCACACTGCTGCCCGTCGATAATATTCACGTTGGCTTGCTGCAACTGCTGCGATCCGGCTGTAAGCCAATCCACCCAGAATAGTGTTAGCTGCAGCAGGGCCAGGTCGTTGTCGTAGCGCCATAAGAGTGCGGGTGAATGTGAACCTTGCAGATGGCGATCAGGGATCCGCCAGTGCTGCGGGAGCTGGTGCCGACCCGCACCTTCAGCTCGGAGGGGGCGACCCTGTGCACACACCACCCGCTGGTCAGAATGAAGTTCTCCCTGATGATGGCGCCGCTGCATAGGGGAGGGCTGCCAAAAGAAGTAGCAAATGGAACATTTCCACCAGCTGAATTTTCGTTAACAGTGGGCTCATTCTTTTATGGGAATTCTGTGGAATTTCTTAGTTTCACTAAGAGAATTTTCTGTAAAATGTGATTTACTTTCGCCTATCTCTATTGGGTCATTCATCATATTGAGTTACTTGCATTCTACATTTCTCACTAGGGAATGTCAGTCGCTGTTTTTTAAAAGAAAACTCGAAATATTCACCGTATTTAAGCTACGGAATCAGGCTGTATAGTGTCAATAAACTGCTCAGCAACTAGGTCAATTACAATGCAATACAAATATCCCACTCTTTGTAATACTTATTTCAAAATTGTTTTTGGGTTAAACATATTCAAAAGCCGATTATGGCTCGTTCTGCGAGTATGTCAGCTGAAATGTTGCTGCAGAGAGCTCCAGCTGCTGAAAATGGTTGTTTATAGGTATTTGTGCATCGCGAACTTGTTAATCTATATTGCCAAATTATACTGTATAATTTAAGCCACCGCAACAGATTCGTTCCCGCTGGTCAGCAGCCATTACACTAAGCCGCTTAAAAATCATTTGAATATACTATCTCGTTTGCGGGGAAAAAACTCTGTGACATAAATATAGCTGGACATTTCCATCATTCCATCAGATAGTCACAGAACATATGTACACGTGTGATTCATCCGGAATGCGGATTTAAATCACGGAAATGTTTAGCAAAACGGCCAAATAAATACACGTAAAGTTCATAGATTGGATCTAGCGCTTGCCCATGGCCATGGGTTGGACAAACAAACAAACATTTTGATGGGGGGATGTCTGCCAGATTAAAGTAGATTACAACTGTATTATTTGATGATGCCCCAGCAGATTCAAACCCCATCATGTCCGCACATCAACTGCATTCGCGCTCATCGCATTTCAGTTTCGTCAATGTGCAAATTATTTTCGGTTTTTTAACCAATTTTTATTTTATTTTTTATTTTTGGTAGCTCTTTGCTTGCTGAAAATAAGTATTTTTTCCATCAGCTGCGGGGGTTGTTTTTCGAAGCACTCCAATATAATTTGAATTTTTTTGTGAGTACGCTTTAATTGATTTTGTTTGTGGAAAATCAGACAAAGAGCTCATGCTATCGGCTTGAGAGTATCAGAAAATATGCATTCAAAGTTAAAGGTGTCAGTGCACCTGTGTTCAGTTTATTCCCATTTGAAAGTGAATTTCCCCCATCAGTTTGAAATTTTCCAAGTTTCTATAGCTGCTTCGCTTGACTCCCATATGCCATTCACAGTGATTACTGAAATTTGGCAACGTCGACAGGGCCATAGATACCCATCGATGGCCATTCACAGCTCGATTCAGCTGCGCCTTCATCTCAATCAGCCTTTGGACCATACATAACCCAGCAAATCCTTTTTTCGGCTGTGTGTCAGCGTTGCCAAATTTCGCACCAGCGGCAATTACTCAAACAGTTGCCAACAACTGGGCTCTGTCCTTGTCCCTGACCCCTGACCCACGTCGCTGTGCCAGTGGCCCGCCCCACCCTCGCTGTTGCACTTTCGACTGCAGTCAGAGCTCCTCATTCCGGGAGCAAAACAATCGTTGACAAAAATATTTGCATGCACTTTGCGTTTGGGGTGCACTTCTCTGAATCGCTGAATTGTTCCAACGGATGTTGTTGCTGTTGCTGTTGCACTACTACACCCACTGGTGTTGCCAACGGCGTCGGCGCATTAAATATGCAACACCTATGACAGTAACCCGCTTGACATTTAGATCTCCCGGCCAACGTGCCACTGCCACCGTGCCACCATGCCACCCCTTTTGTACTCACAGAACCTGAACGTGAACTTGCACAGTAAACTTTTTTGGTCGCTGTCGGAAATCTGCCAGCAATTTGCTGCTGAATTTGTCACAGGAACCGAAGAACCAAAGAACCGAAAGTTGCCACAAGGAAAAAAAATTAGGAAAAATTATGACTTCCGCAATTGTTGCAAGAACAAAGGCATCTAATGTAATGCGAAAGTGTGAACCGAAAGGAGAGAGGCAACTGTTGCTCTCCAGCACCAGACTGACTCCGCAAAAGACACACGAGCAAAGTTTTCAAATAGAAAATGTTTAATTTCCCCAAAGACTACGACGATGCTGCCTGGTTGCTGCCTGGAAAACGCTGCGTTTTCCCCCAGCCCAGTGCCAAGAAAACTTTCTCATATTCGTACATACATACATATATCTTACAATACATACGTATCTATGTGTGTGGGTGTCCAGGTCCATTGCAACAGTGCAGCCAAAAGTTTTGCCTCTTTCGGGTTCAAAAGTTGGCTAAGACAAACCCCCTCCAGCTCCTGCCATCCACAGTCATCCCCAGACAGGTCCTCCTTCCCGCCAGTCGAACTTGTTAGTTTGCCATATAGCTGTAGCGTTGAAAATTATATTATTTTAAACTTTTCAAATGTCACCAGAGAGTCGAAAATTTCACCCTCCCACCACGAACGTCAATGCCAAATTCCTCTCGTTAATTAAACATGGTTTCGCGGCTAATGAAGCGCTCAATAAATCGAATATATTCGAGGGTAAAGAATTGCAATTGAATATAAACGGAATTATCTAATCGAGTAGGGTAATTAATCCAAAGTTGGCACTCAAGTCAGGCAGGGCTCAATCATTGAAATCGTTGCTTAGGAAATGATAAAAGTGTATAGTAAATTCTACATTTATTTCATAAAAAAGAGTAATCGATTCATGGCATCCCATAGCATCTTTGATGCATAAAACAATCCCATCTCCCTGCCAATGCCTCCCAGGGTGCCCATTACATTGCTAAAACTGTCGCAGAATGTTGCAATGCGATCAAAGCAGAACTTCAGACACTCAAAACGAGAACAGGAGAAACAACAGCAAAGGAAGCGCCACATAGAAACTGCCTTCAGTTATGGCACACAATCAAAGCAGCTGCCACTGCAACAGCAGCAGCAGGAGCAATAGCCACACCGCCAGGGCAACATGAACAGCGAGTGACACAGCAATGGCTGCTGACGGGCATGGCATGGCACGGCATGGCACGGATTCTGCTGTTTTGAGAGAGCTTTGATGACATCTCGTCCGGGAGGAGGCACAGCACAGGACAGCACAGCAACTAGCTGGAAGGCAGCCAGGCGGCAGCCAACAAGTGTTTAGCATTTTGTTTTCAGTGCAATTAAAAAGAGCCTACGCCCCAGCCACACCATCCTCCCCCGAGCTGTTGTTGTTGTTGTTGCTGTCACTGCTGTTGAAAGGCCACAAAAGACACCCACACACAAGCACACAGAGAGAGAGAGAGAGTGTCAGAGTGGAAGCTAAAACGAGAGGCATGGCATGGTGTGGTGTGATGTGGTGTTGGTGGTTGCCATCAACACTTGAGCTCTGTTTTTTAACAGCCGCCAAAGTGGTGTCTCTTTCTATTTTGTTTCCGCTAACTGCGCCTGGGGATATGCACCAGAAATGGCTCGCGGCAAGCATTGCGTATACGTAATATACTATGATGGGGCAGCAGCCTGTGCAGCGTACACGGTGCATGCAGTGGAATGTAGCACTATCCTCGCTGAAATATGCTAATAAGCCCCGCTTAATATGCAATAATTATGCCATGGTTCTGCAACAATCAGCAGTCAATTGACTGGACACAAACGGCTGCTGCATCACAGAGGGGTGATGAGGGTGAGGTATACATATAGAACCGAAGGGAGAGCTTTAATGTGTTCTGAAATATATCCCAAAAATGCAGTCTGCCTTTATGGCTTAAGAGAGATGGAAAATTGCCAGAGCGTTGCATTCGATATCCCGACTTTTCGATTCTCTTTGCGTGATTGCTGTCTTGCCTTTATATTTAGGGAAATAATAACAAACCAACAGTCACGCCCTGCTATGGTACTCTGCTACAAAGTGTTATGAAAAGAAACAAGTATTATTTCAAAATATTTTAATTACTTTTGAGAGCACATACTCGTATAAGCGCATTTATCTGTTTGTTCTAAAGAGGGAGAGGCGGAAAAAACATTTGGGAAATATTTTGGGCAAAAGGCCTACGAACACGGACACGAATGGGGGAATCCGAATACGCTTGAATTATTCAAAGCATGTAACTGATGAAGCAGAAGCAAGACGACAGACGGCCGACGGCCGACGAGAGATGCGAAATGGGAGACCGGAACGAGAACTACAATTTCAATTTTTGAGTATTTTTGAGTGCTACGTGCTATAGATATACATATGTATGCAGACGGGTCTGTGTGTGCGTGCAGCAGTTGCAAGCCGCAATTGTGTGTGTGTGTGTGTGTGTGTGTGTGTGTGTGCATTGCCTATTATGCTACCAAATGAAAGTGGTAATAAATTGGACAAGATGTTGCCATAAACCACACCACGACAAGCCACAGCAAAAGAGGCATCGAGATAGGCTCACGGCATATACGGGGGGCCATGCCCCTAGCCCCCTAGCCACCTAGCCACCTAGCCACCAGGCTCTATTGCCGATATTGCAAATGCAACGCATGCAACAAGAAGAACAGCAACAAAATGAAACAAGAACCAAACATCATTATCATGTACGAAATGCATTCGAAAACCGAATCCAGCTGCAGGCCAACAGCTGACATGGCTGCTGTTGCTGCTGCTGCTGGTGCTTTACCACCAGCCAGACACAGGCCCCCAGTTTTAGCCCCCCTGTGTGGCAGCAACCCATCAACCACAACCCATTTATGGCGTTCAGAATCTATGTAGCATCCAGGACCAGGAGGTTACCTTACCCCATTTAATCTCTCCAAGTGACTTGCAATTCAAATTGAAACGAAAATATCTCAAAGTGAATATGATGTGGGATGAAGAGTGTTCTATGGTCATATGTGGGACGGGACCCGGACGACACATAAATGCTTCTAAATGCATCGAATAGCTTTGGCTGGCTTTGGTCAAAGGATGAGGGTTTCCCGTTTCAAATTTCCCATTTCCCGCACTCACTACTGAGCTTGGGATACAGTTATTAGATGAGCAGAGCTTCTGCAGTTAAGTGGAGCTTGGATCAGGCGACTTGCAACATGCTGAAATTATTGTTTTGACCTGTGATTAATATGCCAATTAGTTGTCTGTGAGCCCCAATTCTAATTGGATCCGCTTGCAAGTGGCATCCCAATTAAAATAGATAACGCTTATCTTGAATCATTATTCTGCTGTTGGCTGCGCTCTTGAGCATTGAGCTGTGTCCTCCCCCTTGATAGATGCTATAAAAACCGACGGCAATCGTTGCCCAAATTATCAGCTCTGCAATTTAAATGCAGAAAGTATTTCCCTGGAGCTCTGCCTCTACTGGTCAGTACACGTGAAACGTTTCAAATGTTACATTTCATTACGCTATTAACACATCTGAAGGGACGTTCGGTTTCACTTGTTGCTCTCCATCTGCTGCCCAATTCCCTGCGGCTCGCTCGATATGTAAATCCCTCCAAATAGTTATAATTATGGGCCATATGCTGTGCAGCAACTGCAGTTCGTCTTCTTAAACTTGTGCTTAAGTTTGCTCTGCTCTAGAATTCAAATGGAGATTGAGAATTTAATGCGTGTACGCGGGGAGGAAGAGCCCCTGCAACTGCAACTGCTGCAGCTTTTGATGATGCCACTGATGGTTGTGCTGCTGCTGCTGCTGCTGCCACTGCCACTGCCTGTCCGTTAATGCCCTGCTTTGTCTCTGATAGTTTTCCCAGTCGTCCTGGCTATGTCCTGGCAAAGGGTATTGCGGCTTTAAGCAGACATTTGCCATGCCGTGGTGGAAGTATTTGCCAGCTCACAGAGTGTGTAAAATATTCCTTTAGGGTGTCAAATGATTCGGCTTCGTTCTTCTACCTTGTGGCTGTTGTTGTTTCTAGTGTTTTTGTTGTTGTTAAATATTTGTATTTCCCCGGCTATCAGAGCAGGGAAAACAATCAGCGCCTGAACAAAGTTTGTGAAAAGTTTGTCCCTTCACACTTGCTCTTCTCCAGCGTCGCTGCGTCGCTGCCACCCTCCATCCCTGTCACCACTCCTCTCTGTTGTTGTATGTGATAGGATTTTTATGTAAAACATAATTGCAGATTAGTCGCTGCGGAAATGTGCAAATAGAACAAAAAGCAAAAGCAAACGCAAAATCACAAGAGAAGAAAAGGGGCAAAAAAAAAATCAAAATTGTAATCGTTCTGTTGCCGCTTAAAGAGGATTAAACATGAGTGAAAGAACGCCAGGGAATCCGCAGCAGAGTCCAGTCATGGTATGAGGTGGGTGGGTGTGGGTGACTATGAATGAAAGGGAGGAAGTTGCATGAGTACCACTCGACAATTGCCGTATGAATGCGAATCCTGCAACTGCAACGGCAACGGCAACGGCAACTGGCTGTCAATTTGTTTGCCACTTTCTGCCACTCTACAACGCTGCTGCTGGTGATTCTGTTTTTCTTTCTCCATTTTGAACGCACACACACACACAAAAAGGATATTTTCAATTAATTAAGAACTAAACAAAAAAAGAAACGCTGCCTTTGGTAGCTTTAGATACCCTAACAGATGATAGCTGCATATATATTCGATTGCGATCAAATTTCCCACGCAAAAGTATATTTAAAAGCAATCTGTGCTGTTTGATTGGAACATCTTCAGATGGATGGATGTATATATTTATTGCCTGTAGAAATACCAAGGGTATCTGCAAAATGCACTCTGCCAAAGGATACAAAAAGAAATTGGCAGGCCAAACGGATGCTCGGGTCAGCCGCAAAAACGTTTTTGGCTCGTCTGTTCAAGTCAACAAAATATGGCTTCAAATTAATACGAAAATGAGAGTATGCTGAGGGGCCATTGGGCAATGGGAAGGCAATATATGGAGAGGGTTACGGGTACGCCACTCAATGGCAATGCGTTTCGCCTATTTGCACAACAAATGAAGTTGAAAATGACTCCGGATTGGAGGAGTTCTCTGGGAAGTACCTGCCTCTGCCTCCACCCCACGTGCACCCGTTCCGTAGTACCGCCATCGCTGCCATCTCTAAATGGAAACGTAAATATTTGAACTGCAATCGAGCTCTGCACAACCCACAACCCTCACCGCACTCAGCTATTGATTTGTTAAGCATTTGGTTCTGGCCAAAAATGCTCGAAATCGTCTTTATTGAAATGCAATTGGGAGTCCTGATGCTAAAAGACGGTAAAGGCACAACTGAACGGCCAAGCAAACGACATTTATTAGTCAGGAAGTGGGGAGAGAGAAGGAGAATGGGTGAATAGGAGTGCGAGTCTTGCTAAAAGAGACTCCCAGAGTATGGCAAACATTTTAGGGAAATTAGTTACCAAAAAGTAAGTGAAAACTTATAGGCGTTGGGGGTATTTTTTCTGTGACCTCTTCCTCGTCAGCCAATTGAACGCCAATCTCCAATCTGATTCAGCTTGATTGTCAATCCAAATTGATGCCTCTTGCTCGTTTATTTGGGGAATTGTAACACTTTTCAGGCAGTTAAAGGCCTCTCCTTAGAGCCATTCAGATTCCGCTTAAATCCGGATCGAAATCGATGCCTCAACAAGGTTGCAAATGTCAAATGCAAATGGAGCCCCTGGCCCACAATGATAGCTATAATTATAACGTTCAACGGAGCATCGTCCACCCCACCCCACCCCTCTCATGATGTCCTTGAGCCATGTGGCGACCTTATAAATTAGCTGCCAGGCGAGAAGTCAACCAGCAGCGGCGTCCTGGGCATATCCTAGTACTCCCAGCTCCTGGGCCCTGGGTCCCGGGCCACGCTGCCGGTCTAATGAACGAACGCACCACATAAACATAAATTATGGCTGGCCTCGGTGCAGGGTTCGGGTTCTTCTTCTGCCCCTGCTTCTGGAGTCATCATCCCCCTTTCCTTCCACGCTTCCCTTTTCCCATCAACGGTAGCCAAACCCCAATGCATATTTGCGCAGCATACTTTTGGGTGGCGGGATGCGGCGCGCTGCATACTTTTTGGCGGCGTTTGGTTTAATCCTGCAGTAAAAAGCATTTTTGGCACGCTCTCGTTTTCTTTATTTTATTTCACTTGCTCTCTTTCTCACTCTCTGTTCGCCCTCTGTCTCTCTTTAACACATGCATGCATACATATATTTTTGTTAATTTATTTTCACTTTTTCTTATTGTGTTTTTTTGTTTTGTTTTCTTTCTTATGCATTCGTGTGTGTGTGTGTGTGTGTGTGTTGTGTTTTACTTAAAATAAATGTTACTCTTTAATCATAATATATATATTCACAGTTTTGTGGGCATGTGTGTGGGTGTGTGAGTGCTTAAGTGTGTGTGTTTGTGTTCAAGTTAAACTAATATTTATTTATATTTATTTATTTATATGTGTATAGTATTTCCATAATGCTTTTATCTATAACTTTATCAATTTTTGAGTACGCCTGAAGGTATTTACAGTGTGTAAAATAAATAATCGCTAACCACTAGTTGGGTCCTACAAATATTCTACAAATTCGTAGAATTTCCATTCAAAGAAATGCACTTTTAATTTGTTTGCTGGATTTTTGCTGGGGGGTAGTGGGGAATTTTTAAGGAACTTACAAACTTAGAAACTAAATTATGTCCTACACTTAGAGACTGTAACAAACTCAACGAAACTCAACTCTATATATTGCACGATCGACAAGGGGGTTGGGAGGGTGGGTGTGGTAAAGTAGTGGGGGCCCGTAACAAGCAACTCTTTCTGTGGCACACTCAACAACACTGGGACTAACTACAGCTAGCCTACACCCTTTAACTAGCGGCATATGTACATACACATACATGCCCCATAACATAGTACGACGCTTAGTAATACTCTGCACTCTGCACTTCACTGCCATCTCCTTCTGATATATGTATCTATATGCATATACTAGGTACTGGTATACATAACATACCTAACATTTAGTTCATTTTACTTTTTAGTGGCGTAAACTGACCCTCAAAAGTATGCAACCGGGCGTGGAATTCTTGCTGTGTGTGTTTGTGTTTTTGTGCTTGGGGGGAAACCTTAACTATTTTGCGCTCCTTTTTGCTGCTTTTGCTGTGTGTGTGTAAACTGGTTCTAGAATCTTGCACTTAACTGTAGCTGTGGCCTGGTATTTATCTGCTGCTTCGGCGGCTGCTGACCAGCAGTGCAACCAGCGTCATTGTCATTAGCAGACCCAGACTGCTCTGCAGTAGCACCCCAGTGGCACCATTGCGCTCATCATCGCGACAGAGGCCCGGACTACGGGTAAAGTCCTCGCAATAGGTCTGCAAAAATGGGAAAATATCAAGTTTTTCTTATGTATCGACTGGTTCCCACTCACCTTGGTCAAACTGTTGGCGTATTTATCGACCAGCTCCCGCGTGAACTTGGCCGCCTCATTGCCACAGATTCTTCGGGCTGCCATCTCCGAACAGTCCACGAGCTCGTTGATGGAGCTACGAGGCGATTTAGCTATAGAAAGATAGATCAGGAAAGGAAAGGTGATCTACACTCACCAGCAAATGGTTTTGATGTTCTCATTCAGAGTGCCGTTTTCGGGATTCTCCTGGTTCTTGTTCGGCTTCAGAAAGACCATTGTCTCCTTGTAGCGAGTGGCGCACACCTCGAACTCCTTCTTGGCCATCTCCGAGCAGGGCACATGCTTCAGGTACTCTACATTAGGTATAGCTTTAGCTCAAAACAGATCTGTGGAGTAGTTTTCGGGTTGCGTCTCATCTTACCCTCCTGGAACTCCCCCTTGTTGCACAGATCGCGGATAAACTGGTTGGTGCCGTGGTAGAGCTTGTTGAACTGGTTCCTCTGCTGCAGATCCATGCAGCGTCGCGTGTAACTCTGGATGCATCGCACCCCCTTTCGCAGTTCGCTGTAAGATAATCGGAGATTATCTCTGGATCGTATCGGATCGGATAGGACCGGATCGGACCGGGGAAAAGCTTTTTCCCGGTGCCCACTTACTGGCAAAGTTTGTCCAGTTCCTCCTTTTTGGCGGGGCCAATCGAGAACTCTGGCGTTAAATGCAGCATTTCGAGTGGTTCGGCGCACTTGGTGAACTCCTCCTGGCCGCACTCCTCGGACCGTACCTCCACGGCCAGCGCCAGAATCAGAACTGGAAATTCGAGCAGTGGAAAAGCCAGAGGGAAAGAGCGCCAATGCCAGAAAGTGTTGGAGTGGGAGACAAATAAACAAACAGAAACATTGAAATAGTGCTCAAGTTGAAAGCTAAAAGGCAATCTGAGACTCTTGGCCACCCATAGGATGGCAGGAGCAGCAGCAGCAGCAGGGGTGGCTGTGGCTGTGGCCCACACAAACAGTCAGTTGCAACAAAGTTGCAAATGTGCGTCAGGGGTAATAAAGTTAAGCGTAAGTGAAATTGGCATTTCATAAATTTTTCGCCAACTTTTTATTCCGGCATTCCATGAGATTCAATCTATTTGACGCAGAACTGACAGATCGGGTCAGGTTTTGATGGTGAGATAACGATAACCCATTCAGTCGGATGATTTTTCATATATATGTATATACGCTATATGTATGTTCACGTTCCCGTTCACTCACCCGACATCCATATCAGAGTCCAGCTCCAGTTGAAATTCCAACTGCAATGCATTTTTCCGACAATTTGTTCTTCACGTATTGAATGCAATTGTTGCTACAATTTTGACGTCACCACAACTGGTTTTTGTTATAGAAATAAATCAAGGCGAGAATAGCTTTTTAATATGCAAAGTATTTATGACAAATTACAGCTTTGCGTCGTCTCAATGGTTTTGATATGTTGCTGGCACAGTTCTCTCATTATTTATTATTTTTTTGATTTTATTTGCACCACCATCGAGAAGAAACGATCAAGACGCAGTAAAAGAGACGACTCTACCCTCTACTCTTCGCGGCCAACAAGTAAAACAGCCAAACAAAAAACCAACCAGAAAGAACCAAAAAAATAATTCTAAAAATATTCTCAAAAGCGAAAGCACAGCGTCAGAGGTTGGATTGCTTTCGATCGGAGTGGTTCGTCTGGGGGTCTGGGGGTTCCTTCTAATATTCTTTCCTTCTAGTTGCGGACGCTATTTTTACGAGTATTTTTACTCATTCTTTTCGCCAATTATTGCTGCAAATGTGGCGTGCACGGGTCCAAATGTAGTTTCTGTTGGGGCAGATCCAACAACATTTCATGCTGAGGGGATGTAAATGATGTCTAAATGTACTGTGTGCTGTTGTTGTTCTTTCTTGGTGGGTATTTCTATGAGAGCAAATTCATTTCCCAAACACAAATAATTTACGTAAAATGGTTAATTTTTTTTTTGTAATCAAATTCAATTTAAATCATTTTGCAACGATTTTTCCTGCTCATAAACTCCACTAAAATCAACCCCTATTCAGGACCCATAAAGAGGAGACATACAAAATCAGCAAACGGAAAAAAATCAGTGTTCATTTAAATGTTGGCGATGTGCTAAATTGTTTTTGTCTGTGTGGCATTTAAGTTATTACGTATTTGCGATATGTAAATGCAATCAAATATGAGAACGGGCACGCGGACGATGAAAGCCGTGACAGATGCATTTAATGCCCACAAATGCACAAGCAAACACCACAATACTCGTACAAATCAAACACTTTTCAAATGCCTCGTTGAGCGGCATTTTATGAATGTCCCATTGATGGGAACAGCAAATACTCGCAGTCGTACTCATACTCGCACTCGTACTGTGTCACAGGTCAGGGTTTTGGCCAATTTTTATGGAAAAGCATAGAAAAATATTAGAAATAACTGAGAAAGAATGAACGAAATGGAAGCTGTGGAATCCAAGGGCTTGGATGCTCTTCGATATTGATATTTCTCATGTCAAAACATAGAAAATGGTAATCAGATTCCATATGAAATAGGAACTAAAAGATTTTCAAATGCATTTTTTTAGGTTATAATTGCAGAAAAGTTAAACAAGTTTTTTTTTGAATTGAAACTAGTTTTTATAATCTGAGACAAGTTCTCGTTGGAATAAACTGATCTATGGCATCGATGAGGCATACTGTGTTTTGGTAAGCTTTTGTTCCCCCTCCCCCCAGCATACCTTCTGCATACCCTGGTCATTTATATAAAAAAACAAATCTGCATAATTATACGGAAAAATATAATGAAAACGAAACGCCCTAAAACGTCAGTGCAGTGAAAAGTCAATCAAATTGACTTTGTGCACAAGTAAACAGGCATTTAAATCATTGTGCATTGTTTTGCACTTATAATTAATCAATTTCAGGTGCAACAGCACCAATACCAGCCTCTACTGAAGCCAGAACAATAGAAACAGCAGACAGCAAACAGCAGACAGCAAACAGCAAACAGCAACCTGCTACAACAACTAGAACAATCATACAAATCAAAACACTTTTCCAAAGTGCCGCCACTGACCGATCGTATGTTTTGCTATGCACTTCTACTGCTCCAACTCTATGCACTGGCCCACCGTCCCTCTCTTCTGTTTGCCCTCTCTTGTGACTCTTCTGCACCGCTCTCTCTCTCTCTCTCTCTCTCTACCCCCACTCTTCTTCCCAGCTGTTCCCCAAGCCTTGCAGGGCCGTTCAATTGAGAAACGAAAACAAATCACTTAACGCAGAAAGAGGAAAAGAAAGAAGAGAAGAGAAAAAGAACAACTGTTATTCGGCTTTTGCTCTGACTGCAGATCGCTGCGCAAAAATTTCGCCTTGAAAGTGGGGTGGTGCAGTTTGTGCCGCACGTGATGCAAGAATGCAGTCGGACGAGCCTCTCCCCGGCATCATCATCTTTGTCGTGGGATCATCGGATCGCAGCAAGATCGCCGCCCTGTGCGAATCAGGTTTTCTCCGCTCCACTCCTCCACTCATTTATTTATAAATTTTTAATGATTTTGTTTGGCTTTGGTCTTAATTTATTTATTACTTGGAAGATTGGGAGATCGGTTCGCTGCACGCGAGATGAAACAGCGCCAGACGAGACGACGACGACGACACTTTCGAATGACACGGGACAGCCGTGCGATGCAATGGACAGAGCAGAGCAGAGCAGAGACGCAAGCGCGCCGCGTTGTTCACCGGACGAGTAGCAGAAACGTACTGTGCAGCGGCAGAGTTAGCAGCAGAGGCAGAGGCAGCGCCAAGACACTAAGCAAACGACCAAACCGACCAAGCGACCCAACGACAAGCGCCAAAAGCAACGAACAAATCAAAAGCCGAACGCCCACAAAAATTCAGAGCCCCCGAACCGAGGTGGCGCTCGGGTTCCCAATGTTGCCGAGCTGGGGATGTTGCTGGGCAACATTCGGCCATGTTGCTGTGAAGTTGCGGGTGCACTTGAAATCAATGCAAATGCAACAACAGGTATTTCTGGGCCCAGCACGCTGCCTTCGTCTCTAGCCCCTGTCTGGCAGAGTGTCCGCCAATCCAGATATCCGCCTCTGCAAGTGTCCGCCGGTAAGTGGGTTCTCCTCTTTCCCTGCACGTGTGACACCTGTGGGAGTTTCGGCTGTTCCTAGGCCCCTAGGCAGTATGATTGTTCGAGTGTTTGTCCGTCCCTGCGATTATCTTCCCAAGTGTCCGGCTATCCACCTGTCCGCTTGTCCCGCTTGCGTTGCTAGTGCAAAATGATAAGTGATTAGGCATTTCGAAGGACAATCTGCACTGATAGACGACTAATCCGGCAACTTTTTCCATAAATTTCATTCGATTTGTGGCGTCGCTAGTTCTATTTTTCCCGCTGAGTCTATATTTGCCACTCAATTAATTTAATTCAGGGGGGAAAGCCCCCTTATAGATAAGATTATCTACCAAAGAATCCGCTGGATCCACTGCACGTTTCCAATCATTCTTTTTCTTTCTGTGAAATATTTATGTGTTGATATTTGTCGGGTGCCAACACAGGTTGGCAAGTACAGGTTCAAGTATCGTGGATTGAGACGTGTGTACACTCCCCTTTGTCCTTCAGTCCTATGGTACTTCGATTGTTGCCTGAGTTTCTGTTTGTTTTATGCCAATTTAGCGGCTTGTTTGCATATTTACTGTACACACTGTCTAAATTAGGCAAAGATTTCCTTTCAGTTATGTCCTTGGCACCTTGTTTGCCCCTGGGCAATACTCGACATGTTAAAAATGGAGCAGCACTCTCGCTTCGGCCCCATGGCTTCCCTGGAAATACAATCTCTCCAAGTGGATTCTTGAAATGCACTCAAACGCAGGACACATACTTGGAATTTCGAATCAGAGCAATAGTGTGGGCGAGCAGTCAATTAGGAGAGCAAAGGACAAAGGTATATGTCACCAGGAAAGCAGCAAACGGCTGAAAGGAAACTTGCACAAGTCAATGGAATTTCATATTTTCTATGGCACGAAAAATAGTCACAAAATCCCTGTGCATTGCGATGTAAATTTCTTTCCAATTGCCCCACACGAATCGGCATAATCAATATTTTGATTAATCAATATGGTCCTTGAACTTGATTTACAGCCCTCATAGATTTAATTCCAACAGACTTTCTATCTTACGAGTAGATCTGATAGAGGCGTAATTCATTTAAGAGGCCACTCGACATGCGAGACTTATCAAACCCATTTCCCTGTCTAGATTAGATACTCTACGGCTTACGGGTTCTTTTGACGCGTTTCCTTCCAGTGATTTAAATGGAAATTTTCAAGTGAGAAGGAAATTCTCACTCAGCGCTGCAGTGTGCCAAATTCTTCTGTCTCATTCGAATAGGAATATAGAATTCAGCTTAATCCGCACTGCATAGAAGCCCAACCAACGATAATATCTCACTCTGAACCTCCATATATCCCAATTATACTAAATGATATGCGAGTCTGTTATTTCGCAGTGCAACTCAATTAAATATCCACTGGGGAAATGGGCAAAAACGGGACGGGGCAAAAAGTGGCTGGCAAGAAGGTAAATAGCTTTAAGTGCTGCTCTGTGGCTTATTTTACACTTTTACACTTCCACTTCCAGTTTCATTTCGTTTAGTTTTTGCTCCACTTTTGCATCCATAATTATCGGAACTTAACCCTCTTCTGGCCAACAACTAACAAACTTGTGCAACTGCAACAACAAGCAATGCTCGTATGTCTGTGTGTGTGTGTGGCGGGGGAGGGGGGGTTCTGGTGAGGTCCTACCGAGGTCATTACCACTGGCCACATGCGTAGGGTCTCAGGACGAAGGACGAAGGCGTAAGCTTTAAGCCCTTGCTTATACGACAAACGAAAACAAAACTCGAGTTTATTTTATTTCATTTTCTTGGAACGGACGGGAGGACTGGGTTACTGTAGAGGGCAATGGTGTGGTGGCATGGGTCATAGAGGGACTGAGCAGGAAGCCCATGGATCCAACACCTAGACACAACACACACACACACACACACAGACATTTGGCTATCGCGCATTAAGCGTACCAACAACAATAGCCAGAACAAACAGCACGAAAAGATAGCTCTTCGTGAGCGAAGCTGTGAATACCCTTAAAGATTGATCGCTACTCTGGGGATAGCCCAGAGTTAAGTTCTCTCTCTCAAACAGATGCGGTGTTTAGGGAGGAGTACATAAACTTTACGGGATCGGAAATTCTTCCCTTACCATTTTAGAATGCAAAGAATTTGGTTAAAATCGTAATACCCCCCCAATGGAAAGCGAACGACAACTGTGAAAGTGGCCACAAGTAGAGTGTGGGTGGGCGGAAAGGAGAGTGTAGCAAAAAGAGTGTTCTATGGTGAAGGGTATTGTAGGATATAGAGGGTACTCTGGGCCCCCCTTTGCACACTTCTTCATGCTTTGGCTTTTGTTCCACCACCCGCCACCCACCACCCGCCTGCCGCTGCTGCATTAGTTTGTGTTTGAACTTTGCAAGTTTTCCCCATCATCATTGTTGTAGTTGCTGCTGCGATTGTTGTTGCAATTGTTGGTGTTTCTTTTGTTGTTGCTGCTGCTGGCTCGTGGTGTTGCTGGTGTTGCTGGTGCTACCGCTGCCATACAGAAGTCCCTCCCATGGACGCGCAACTGTTGATGTTTACATTTAGCGCTTGGATTTATGAACTCCGCATTCGAGGCACGTAGCATTTGGACAATTTAAAGTTTAGCTAGCACACACACACACACACATGCGCACTCCTACGCACACCCTCCCATAAGCAGACGCTTCTAATAGGCTGTTCAGACTGGGGCTGCGTAATGCTTCTGAGCGTCTTGCCGGCCAGCCAAAGGTCAATTGTTCTTTTGCTAATGGAAAGAGCAAAGGTGCCAGAACCACGACTAGGACTGGGGACCAAGCACCAACTCTTTTGTAGCATTCATACACTTCTTAAGTATTTACGCTTAGTTTATTTTTATTTATTTTATAAGAATGAAAAGCAAAGGGATAGCAAGTTGGTTAATTAATGGATAGCTCATAGTAGCAGGCACCTCGGTTAAAGCGAATGTTGGGGACACAGAGTGTTCATGGGGATAATGTTGGGGAAGAGTTAACAGAGTTAAATACATAGGGGCCGAAGGTGTAAATCGTAATCATTTGGGTACAATTTAAATATTTGTTTGCGGGATCGAAAACCAAATAACATGTGGAGCTACACGTCAGAAATGGCCGTTTTAAAAGTTCCAATTGAATATTAAATATATGTTCATATATTTATGGCTACTGTATCTGCTAAGTCATTTGTGTAAAGTCTATGCTGTGAGGTTGTTGTCACCACTGCGCCTTTTTTTATAAATTTAGTGGCTAGTTTTGTATTAAAAGCTTACAGCTGCTGGCTGTAAAGCTTGTTGCCATGAAACTCTCTCATTTGAAGAGTGTATGATATAGGAGGAAATAGGTGAAAGTATAACATAAATAAATAATATATATGTAAGATTTTTGTTTCTTGCTGAAACTGCAGGCATCCACAGTGACTTGTGCAGTCCGAAAATCAACTGAAATGAGAACTGAATTGGCAACAAAATTCTCCGAGCTCCATTTTACATACACACCGTGGCATTGGTAATGGGAACTTTAAATAGTTTGACCTTGAGCGATGCGATTCACCGACTTGAGATAGCAATATTCAAAATCGCTGAAATCCATATCCATAGAATTGCACTTTAAGTTCGTGAACTCCACTCGACATGCGATCTGCAAGGTGTTAATTGGTTGTTCAAAAAGTTAACAGCTTAAATTAAATTATCCTTACATCTGCCAAAAATGGGATATGACCAGTAGGCCAACCGTTGAACCGAGAGTAGAACACATAACGCACACTCAACACGACCACGAAGACTAAATTTCAACAAAACATTTCTTTAATATAAGTACTAATGGCATTTTAATATAGTAAGTATATTTCTGTTAATCGCTATTCAAACCGAGTGATTTATTTTTCACTAGTAGCTCCATAAACTAGTTAAAATAAAATACAAAACACAAATACAATTAAAAATATAATACATAATAATAATTATAGAAAAAAATGCATTTGGCCGCATTTCTACGCGTTATATCTTGGACTACAAACGACAGCCAGAAGACTTGTTACTTCATTGTCCAAAGTTTTCCGTGCTAAATAAAACAAATAAAGCAAAAATACTCAGGGGTAAGTCCCAATACAATCGTTTCACACCATTTACTGGGTGAAATTTAATTTGTTTTCTCTCTTTGGTTGTCCCCGCTTGGCCAAATTCCCCAAAACGCAGTGACAGATTTGTTTAAAAGCCAAGGCACGGCTCCGAATTCTCATCAGTTGTTTTGAGAAACCTTGCCAGAAACATGAAATCTGTGATCGCTTTTATTGTGCTCCTTTTGAGCCTAGTTGAAGCAATTCCCACTCCTCAGCTATTGTTTCTGCCACTGCCACTACCACTGCCGTTGGGTGTGCCAATTGGACCGTCAGCATACTATCCAGACCATTACCATCACCATCACCACCATAATTCGCCTGGCTATGGTTAACGGATATAACTACTATGAATGATGATGCCTCAACGGGTACGAGTACGAGTACGAGTATATGCTGGGATTCATCAATTTCCAAACTAAGTCTGCTGTGTTACACTTGAAGTTGTCAGAATTTCAATATACTATGTATATAATTTATTTAAATAGATAAAGTTTTGGTTGGATTATTTGAATAAACAAAAAGTTACAACTTGCTCTTTGATCGATTAATCCCCCGATTCTTGCCGACTCCGACAGTACCACAGCTTAGCTCTGGCTCCTTACGTTTCGTTATTTATTCAAAACAGAACACAAGAGTTTAGTACAAAGTTTAGTCCCGTTGGAAAAGCTGTCCAAAAGCTCCCCCTTCCCTGTATGTACACACATTGCAGCAACGACCTTGAGGGCTGCAACAAGCGCAACAGCAGAAGCAGCAGCAACAACAACAACAACAACAAGTAGCAGCATTAAGCTGTAAATCAATTCGGGCGGGGAAAAATTCAATGTCAATGGCAAAAGCTTCTCGTGCAATTCGGCCGCACGTCTGTATCCGTTGCATACTCTGAGGCGGACAGCACATTACGCATACGTCGATGGCCAGTGCAACGTGCGATTTATTAGTGAAATAAATAAATATAAGGGAAAAATTTAGAACAACAGCAACAACAACAACAAGGTGGAATCGGGCGCCAGTGAGTGACTCTCGCGAGCGAGCAAGCAAATTGCGACAGAGAAATGAGACAAATTTAGACAAAACGAACGAAAGAAAGAAAATTGTTGGTCGCCAGAGCAAACTGTTGCTGCTGCTCCTAGTGCTGTTGTTGTATCTCTTTGTGGCTCGGGGGCACTAGGGTGCTAGCTGATGGCTGCTGGTGGCAGTTTGTGTTTGGTGGGTGACGGTGCCAAATGTTGATCATGACCGCGTAAAAATACGTATAAATATAATTAAAACCGAGAAGCAGAAACAAACGCAAAGCAAACAACTTTGTTTCATCCGATATTCAAATAAAAACTGAAGGAAAATTGTGTAACGGCAGCGAGATGAACCGAACGATATTACACTGGAGCTATCTGAACTTCAGGGATGTGCCCATGGACCTGTTCCTGTACGAGGACCTGGAGGAGGTATACCTGAAGGAGAACTTTATATCGGTGATACCCCAATGGCTGCTGAGCATCACGACCCTCAAGTTTATCCATCTGGCGGGGAACAACCTGAGCGAACTGCCCATGGACATATATATGCTGGAGAACCTTGAGTTCCTCGATGTCTCCAACAACGAGCTGAAAGAGCTGCCGCCCACACTGGGTCTGCTGCTCCGTCTACAGCAGCTGAACGTCTCCGGCAATCGGCTCACAAAACTACCGCTGGGTGAGTACTGGGACGCCCCGCGAGCCACTGCGCTAGCCATTGCCAATTTCCATCAACCCTTTCAGAGATGAGCAGTTTGCGCAATTTGGAACAGTTGAACATCTCCAAGAATCGGTTCCGCCGCCTGCCCATACAGCTGAGCGAATGTGTGCGCCTCAACGAGCTAAACGTAAGCGACAATGAGACGCTGCTGCACATACCCGAGCGCATTGCCAACCTCCCAATGTTGCAGTCCCTGGCCGCCGATCGTGAGTACAGCAAATACCAAATCAGAGAGAGAGTGAGAGATGAGTAGCGGGTACGGGTTCTCTTGCAGGCTGTGCTCTCATCTATTTGCCGGCTGCTCTCTCCAAGTTTATGAACCATGTGCGCATCTTCCACAACACGTCGATCAACTACTTGCCGATGATATACGAGAAGTTCTATCAGAGCTTCTACGACAATCGCCAGAGATTCACGCCCATGTGAGTGTTATAGATGCACCTCTGGACGAATGCCTTTCTAACTTTGATCTCTTCGAGTGCAGATCCGTCAGCAGCAAGGGCCTGTTCTGGGTGCGGGAGCTTGAGACAAGGAAACGCCTGCTGCTGCCAGTGGGCACGCGACAAGTCTTCGAAGTTCCCTCCAAGGAGAACCGCATCTCACTCTACGACGACTGTTTGCATGCCATCCAGACGCTGAACCGCCATGTACCTGTCTACGAGAACGCAGCTCTGCATCGCCTGCTACCCGAGGCTTACATGAGCTCCCAGATTAACAATGGCCCCATCGCCCGCTGCACGACTTCCCAATGCTCGAGATGTTTGTACACTTCGTACTACTTCATGGTTGTCAAGAGGTGAGTGTGGGGTGAGATGTGATGAGATGAGGGCCTGCGTCAGACGAAACCGGTCCCGGACGCGTTCTACATTCGGCAAGCAGAAGCCACACAGTGAGGATTGGGGCCATTGTATCTGTATCTGTATATGAAACGCATTTTCCCTTCATCTTTACAGATTTGGCAGCTCTTCGAAGCAGCTCTTCACCTGTAACTTTTGCACCAATCGCTGTGCCAATCTGTGGCTGGCCAGCAACAGCAGAAGGTACTACCAACTGCCCTGGAGAGTCTCCGACGATGACGATGTTGACGTCGATAACTATCCCAAGCAGTAAAGATGGGGCGAACAGTAAAGCTCCCGCCTAGATGTTGTACAAATGCACTCATACACGTAGAATTGTTTAGTTACTCTCGTACCTTTAATTAGTCGTGTAAATGTTGTGTACTACTGGCAACCAGCGCCTACAAAACTCAACCCTACACTAAGCTTAAAGAAAACTCTGCATTGGGCCCCGCTCGTGCAGGTGGATATAGTCGTCCAGGAGACAGTGCGACGCCTGTGGATAGGCGCGGCGACAATTGACGCCATGTCGCCCCATTCTATAGGCATCCCGATATCGTTCGTCCAGTGTTCGATGGGGTCTTTGGCGGACAACAGATGAGATGAGTATCTATTTGTTCGGGTCTGTGGATTCGCTTACCTCAGCAGTCTGTGCAACAGCTGGGCATAGAGGCCGCTGTGCTCGTGCACCTGTCCGTTCTCGCAGATCAAACGTTCCAGGCAAGCGGTTCCATTCTGCCCAATCTGCGACATATAGTCCTCGGCAAACTTGAATAGCAAAAACTGCGGCTCATCCACGACCGGAGGACGAGGAGCGGGTGGAGGAGCATGATTGGAGCCCTTTAGCTCACGTGAACTGCTCCAAAGATTCCACCAATAAATTGGTGTCTGCGGTTCACTGAATTGGTAATGGAAATTCATCAGCCAGACCAGCTGGCGCCAGGCCATCTTCTCATCAAAGGGCACTGGAAATGCGCAGCCAGTGACTAGCTGTGGGGAATAAATGTCTTACATTATTGATGTTACGTCCTGCAAAAGTATCCCGATGATAGTTGACCTTGACAACCCCTCCATTCTGATAGATCAGGAAGCGTTTCTGCCGCCTGTGATGATGCCAGGACGTGAGATTGGCGCCGCCCATGGCTCGCCCACCTTCGACAGCCAGCAAAAGCATCGAAAGAATCATTCTATAAAGGAGGTTAATTAATTAATTGTATATTTATCTATGTGTGCGTGTGTGTGTCTGCCTAACTGTGGACTGTGGATCAACTCACATGAGACTCATTCTGCCGCTTGTTGTGCTTTCCGCTTGGGCTCTGGACAACGTATACAGATAAGTCTTCGATTTTACGACAACGTCTCCAAAAATTATTGTAAAAGAGAAAGATCGGAGATGAGAGGTGAGAAAAAGCACGTGCTGTCGGTGGGTTTCCTACTTTAGCATGTCAGACTAATTAGCGAACAGAGCAACGTCTGCACCGAAAGTAATTAGAGCCAGAACAGCCAAACAGTGTTGGAAAGCCAGTGGATGAGTGAATCAGCCACAGGTGGGTCTGGCAGAGCAGCAACTCTCCTCCCCTCCCATAAGTAAATCTCCACCGAAAACTGAAGCTCAACCTCAACCTCTTTTAGATCTCTATGCAACAAATTGTGATGTGTGTTTACGTCCGTTAAAAGAGAAAACAAAACAAAAAAACTTGAATGTTTTATATTTTAATGGGTATCTAAACTTAACCAAACAAAATACTAATCAACGAAAATTTATTTGGATGTTTATATTGCAATCAATGTTTAATGTTCAATGCTTGTCCCCTAGTTGGGTGACCTCTGTTTGCTAATTAAATAAAGAATTACTTTGGCCCCAAACGAATCCGAATCGCTGTTGCGGAGAGGAGGAATGGAATGGGATCTATCTCCATAGCTACAGTGCGGCGCTGCCATGACAAGCAATGCCCCCGCCTCGGGCATTGCCATAGCATTTGTTTGTTCCATTTATCGAATAGCGGTGGAGTCGAAAATGTCGAAGCACAGTCCCATCTCAGCAGCCTAGCTTGACCTGCCACAGATATTTCGTTTCCTTCGTTTCGACACAAATGTAACCAAAACGCTTCGCCAGAAGATTTCGCTAGTCAAAATTATCTAAATTTCGAGTGTGGCATATCCAAAAAGCCATCAAAATTATGCTGCGGCTACCAGGGATGCCACTGCTGCCGGGTGCACAGTTCTATGATGTGAGTACAGTACAGTAGGCGGCTTTCGATTCCATGACGATCCTCCTTGTAGTACGGGAAGCGTCGCCATCCCCGGCAGCAGACGCTGATGCACTATCAGGGCATACAGATGCTGTCCGATCGCCGGGAGCCGGAGCTGGTGGAGCCGAACGGCATTGTGGCGGATCCCAAGTGTCCGCCAGTGCCCGCACAGATCAACACCCTGTGGGCACCGAAGGTCACCACGAAGCTGCCACCCTGGCTGGCCTACGACAAGCAGGTGCTCTGCTTCAATGCTTACTTCAAGGAGAACCTCACCGAGATCTACCATGCTCCATACCAGGTGCGCAAGGTCAGGATCTACTTCTATCTGGAGGACGGCACCATGCAGGTCACCGAGCCGAAGGTGGAGAACTCGGGCATACCACAGGGCTGCCTGGTGCACCGCCAGCGCATACCCAAGGCCCCGCCCAGAGATCGTGAGTTCATCTCCATCTTTGACCTTAACGTGGACACCGATGTGCAGATCTTTGATCGCGTCTATCGCATCAGCGGCTGTGACATCTTCACCAGACAATTCCTCAATCGAGCCGGCATTTGCGTGCCCGAGACGCAACAGGAGCCAAAGTAAATAATGCACTTGGATCGTAGTTCAAAAGAAATCACATATTCTCGATATTCACCCTAGTGATCCCACCACGGAGATACGCAAACGCTCTGGGCTGAAGCAAACATTCAGCGGCGGCAGTGCCGTGCCCAAGCGCCATTCCTTTGCCCAGTTTCTGGAGTTCGACAGGCACGTGCTCAAGTTCCATGGCTACTGGAACGATCGCAGCGAGTTTGGTGACGTGCGGAAGCTGGAGATCTGCTACTATCTGGCCGACGACACCATAGACATAAAGGAGAAGTTTCCACGCAACTCGGGACGCGAGGGTCCCAGTACTTTCCTGAAACGAGGCAAGCTACCCAAGGAGTTCTCCGGACTGGCGCAGCCGGGTCAACAGACAGCGGTGACGCTGCTCAATGTGCTGGGCTCCAATATGAGGGATGTGCGCTACGTGGCCGATCCATTGAACACGGGCCAGAAGCAGGTGCATCACTACACCGACCAGGATCTGCAGATTGGCGCCGTGCTGAATGTCTTCGGACGCGCTGTAGTTATCACCGGCTGCGATCAGTTCACCCAAAGCTACTACAAAGAGAAGGTAGGTGGCGAGAGACCAGCATTCACGCCAAAACGATTCACACTTCACCTCACTTTCAGTACGGCATCGAAGATTTCACACCGCAGCCCGTTCCAGAACGAAGTGATGTGCGTCCGCACACCCAGGGAGCAGGCGCAGTGCGTCGCCTGCCACCCTACAACGGATGGGGCAGCTACGAGGACTCTGAGGGCAACTGCATCACCGTTGAGCCGAAGCCACCGCAGGCCGACTTCAAGAAGCTGATCAAGTACGACGGCTGCATCTTGCGCTTCGGTGCCAGGCTGGTCTCCGCCATACGCGACAACTGCGAGCGCGTCTTCATCATCAGCTACTTCCTGGCCGACGACACGCTCCAGATCTATGAATCCTCCCGGCGAAACTCTGGCTTTGTGGGCGGAGAGTTTCTCAAGCGGGCACGCGTTGCGCTGCCAGGCCAGGACAAGTTCAGCTCCGCGCGGCCAGAGTACTATCGGGCCAATGACTTTTACATTGGGCGCACTCTCAGCCTCAAGGATCACATCTTTCACATCAATTCAGCGGATGAATTCACATTGCTCTACATGGAACAGCATCCCAGCGAGGTGAGCGCATAGCATAGAATTCAGAGTGTTCAGGTTCCCTTGAGAGTCCTCACCCACTCTGATTCCTCTTTCAGTTTCCGGTGGCCGACATCCGTGCCATCATGCAAAAGATTCGCACTGCAGTACGACCAGAGTACAAGCAGTTTGTGCTGCGCTGCAAGCCCGATGGCAATCTTGGGGACTTCGCAACCATCGACTTTGATACCATGCGATCCACTCTGCTGTCGTATCTGTCGAAGGAGAGCCTGCTGAACCACGAAGTAGTGACCGTGTGTCGCTACTTCTCGGCTGAGCAGGCAATGCCTCCCAGCTGCGACAGGAACCAGGTGCGGGCCGCTGCCCAGCTAGAGCTGAAGCGAGCCTTGTGGAACAATCTTGAGGAGCTGTCGGAGCACTTGAGCCACATTAATCCGACCTCCAAGCCGTACATAAGTGAGGCCCAAGTAAGGTCGACACTGCGGGGTTGTCGGCTGCCGTTCAGCTTGGAGCTGGTGGATGATATATTGCAGGTGCTGCAGCACAACGGGCAGCGCGAGATTGAGGTGCGCGACTTTTTGGGATTCTTCAACATGCGATGCGACCAGGTGCCCGACATAGCCCCTCTTAACATCGCCTTTGAGCTGTGCCCCAAGCTTCCTTTCCTACACAAGGGCCGCCTGGTGGACTTCACCTGGTTCTTGGACTATTTGGGCCTGGAGGAGGAACTCAAGCGGGCCAATCAATGAGGATCCCTCGTCGGTGTTATCAAAATTGCATGTATATACAGAAAAATTCGTGGCAATAAAATTTTCGGAATGGTGAAATTTGTGCTTAAGACCTAGACGATTGTATCCTACAGTTTGGACTCCGTGAGCCAGTTGAAAGACTGCGGCTTGCGATCCGAAGATGGACTGATCGCCACATTGATGATGGTTGGCCTGTCCGTAAGCTGGTTGGCCGCCTTGATGGCCGTCTGCAACTGCTCAATCTCCGTGCAGAAGTAGCCCTGCATGCCGAACATTTTCATCATTTCCTCGTATCGCACTTGAACCCCCAGTGCCGATGGTGGTGTGCTGAAAGCGATAAGATTATCATTGAGTACAACCCTGGTACAGTACGATAAGATCTTCTCACTCACATTTGGGTCAGATCGCCCTCGCTGCGAATGGCCTCGAAGGTGTCTTTGTCGAATCCTCCGTAGATGCCATTGTTGTTGACAATCACAATGGTCACTGGCAGCTTGTACCTCACCATCGTCTCAATCTCCATGCCCGAGAAGCCGAAGGCGCTGTCGCCCTCAACGCAGAGGACCCGCTTGCCGGGAGCAAAGTCACGGCAGAACAGGGCAGCGGCCACTGCAAAGCCTGGACCCACGCCCATGGTGCCGAAGGTGCCGGCATCTAGACGATGACGTGGCTGCTCATTCAGGAGCATGGAGCGTCCAATGTCCATGGTATTGGCACCCTCGCTGACGATAATCGTGTCCTTGGGCAGCAACTCGCGCAAATGATGGAAAACAGCGTAGTAGTTGAGCGGCGTCGAGACATTCAGCGACATCTGCTGCACTGTGTCCTTGTTCTGCTTGCACTTGACGGCCAGCTGCTTCCACCAGTCCTGCTCGTAGCCGAAGCGGAAGTTCACGGCATTCATCTGCTCGAACAGCTGCTCGGCGAAGGGACGAATGTCCGATTGGATGGCCACCGACGCGATGACAGAGTTGTGCAGCTCCTCGGGACAAATGTCCACCTGAATGAACTTCACATCCTTGTCGTAGCGAGGCGAGCGTCCAAAGTGCAGAATCCAGTTGAGGCGCGCGCCAAGCAGCAATACCACATCCGCCTTCTGCAGGGCCAGGGTTCGGGCAGACGAAACGCACTGTGGAGCCGTATCAGAGACCACGCCCTTGCCCATGGGAGTGGGCAGGAAGGGCAGATTTGTGTTCTCAATGAAATGCCTCAGCGTATTCTCGGCGTGAGCATAGGCACTACCCTTGCCGATAATGACCAGCGGTCGCTTGGCCTGTCGCAGAAGGCGGGCCGCGGCGATCACATCATCGTGGGGTGGATAGGCCACTGGTGGAGCTGGGTGAGCCAACGCCTTGTAGATGCGAGCCTCGGGGGCTTTCGATTGCAAAATATTGCCGGGGAAATCCAAATAGGCTACTCCGGGCCGTCCATAGGTGGCATAACGCACTGCCTTCTCCACGTGCAGGGGGATAAGGGCAGCGGTGGGAGGACGAGCTGCATACTTGCAGTACGGGCGGGAAAGCTCCACCTGCGGGCACTCCTGGAAGCCGCCGATTCCTTCATGATCCTGATTTGTGGCTCCGCCAATGACGATCAGAGGCCAGCAATTGACCTGGGCATTGGCCATACCACCTAAACAATTCATTTTGTGTGTGTGATTACCAAATCCCATGGCGAATTCCTCTGTCTTCCATACCTGTCACATGCAGAAGTCCCGGTCCAGAGACCACCAAACAGACGCCCGGCTTTCCCGTGAGATAGCCAATGGCTTGAGCTGCATAGCAGGCGGCCTGCTCATTCCGCATGCCAATGTACTTCAGTCCAGCGGCCTGAAAGGCCATAGACAACTCGATGACGGGTATGCCAATGATACCAAATACATAGTCCACTCCCTGTTGACAAAAAGCAGTGATAGATGATGGGATGAGTTCAAGGTTCATAAATTGGGATACGATTTTCCCTCAAGTTCTCGATTGCAAATCCCAATATTTATCACTCCACTCCCTTCTTTGCTCAGATTCAAAATAAATAATTAAGTACAGTACAATGCATGCTCTAATTTATACCCATCCCTACACTCAATTCTTAACCAAACATGCAAACACGTTTTCAAGAGATTTGTTTGGAATCCGGTGAACGTTTTATTGATTTTAATCTGGGCCCCCAAGTAGAGATTATCGTAGTTATGTATATTTGGGTCGTGCTCGAAAACCTTTGGAACATTTTCTTTATCAAAAATCCGTTCGACTTTTATTAACAAGAATAATCAGGTAGCCAGAACAACAACTACCTGGTGTTTTTGAACTTTGCACAACAAACAGGTGCTAGATAAGACTCCATTGTTCTTGCTGCTGGACCGAGAGCGACCCTCAGCTATTTTAATCAACGTCCATAGGTTAATATCTCAAATATGCCAACATGGAGGAGTGCACATTTTCCGTAGAGATTACAATGCAGAAAATGCATCCCAGACTTGCGGGGGCAGGGACACGGACGGCTTCTTACCTGTTGCTTCAGCGATTCCGCAATAATTTGCACTGCTTCAACATCTGCCATTTTGTGTGCGTTATGTTGTTATTGTGCTAAAAATGTATCAGTCGCCGCCGCGTTACTTTGCGAACTGGGCTAAAATTAGTTAAACTTAAAAAAATTACAGAACCGGACCGCAAGCCAGGAGCAGTGTGACCGCAAGCCAAGAACAGTGTGACCGTGAAGCAACCGATAGTTCGATAATTTCTCGAAAAATCAGCTGATTTTTTGTTCACTTGCAAAATTATTCCTCGATTTTGATATTCGGTTTAATATTACTAGCTAGTTAGCTTTCTCAGACCTAAACAAACAATTTTATCCGATTCCTCAATAGATTTTGTACAAAACGGGTTAGTTTTCAGAACTCCTTTTTATGGGGTTGTTTAGATAATAAGGTTCAAACAAAAACGGCCAAGGCATTAATCGTAAGTGTGTAGCGGAATGTGACGTCATTGTTGATTGCCAACCAAGTGTGTTCTATGCGTATAGACATTTGTATACCTTATTTCCTTTAATATATGTTAAATTTATTATTTCAAACTGCTTGATATGATTAATATGGAATTTTTCTTAGATTGATATGTTTTTTACCTATTTATGCATTTTAAATATAATTTGTGTATACATTTATACCGATCCCAATACCTCTTATTCTTACCTGTAAGTTGCAAAATTTCGTTAATATGTACTTTAAAATAGAGACTGTAGTTTCTGCATTAATTGGAGCCTGAAATTGCAAACATTACCTCAATTCGGTAATATCCATTTTCCCAAGGTATGCAGATTTGTTGCTCATTCCGTGCTAAAGTTGCACGTATTTAACATGTATTTAACGGGATCGTGTACGTTTTGTCGCAAAAATTAATCTACAAAACGTACAAGATTTAATTTCTGCTCGTGTAAATAACGCAGATAACGCCAGGATAGTTTCTTAGCAGCCCTTTTTTTAAGTTTTTTGTCAGCCAGATTTTCGTGTCATAGCAGTCAGCTTTTTAATGTAAAACTAGTGCGTTCTTAAGAGTTTCATAGCATAATTTCATAATTAGATATCACCAGAGTCCACCAATCACAAGAGTATGTACAAACAAAATTATCTACCCTAATCTCATATTACGAGCTAAGTATTTTTAATAATATAAAACACATTAATGGCATGATTTAATTAATGAGATTAAAGCGTTAATATAAGATATGAAAATAAATTCAAAATAGCTCAGCGGGAAGATAATTTTTTTTGGCAAGCTTTTTTCCAATCACGATATTTTTGCAGAGATAAATTGTCCAGACTTGAAAATATTATTTAGCATCCGGATATTAATAGTTTATCAGATAATATGAATCTATTTTTAATATTTTGTGATCTGTTATACAGAAATCTTCAGATTATCTTGGCAGGAAATTTGAAATTAATTTCTATGACTGTATTTTGACACACTAACATTGTAGAGCCCTGACGTTAATTATCATTGGTCAGACCTCAAATTTGATTAGCTTTTGACTAATTAATTTGGTTTTTTTTTGCTCGACTGCAAAATTGAATTAACTTCTGCAATGTCCCGCAACCAGTTGAACGCTCCCCCAGTGATTCCCCCGCACAAATGCTAAGGTCGTTGCGCCAAGCTAACACAAACGGGTTTCCGATCAAATTTGAACTACTTATGAATCTTATTTGAAAAAAATTCGTTTATATTTTGTAATAATAAATACACAGCTAAAGCTTTAATAGGACTCTCCGCTAACAAGCAAACATCGTAGTTATGGCATTAATACTAAGAATACAAACAGGCAATCGCAGAGCCACAGGCTACAACTTTGTGTTAACAATATCCTCGCGCGACTCCTTCGTCTCCACCTCATTCCACTTTTGTATCTTTCCGGATCCGAAGGCCCAGAAGAACAGCGCGGGCAATATATACGCTGCTGCTCCAATGATGAATATCCAGTGCCACTGATCGATGGTGTTCTATGGGCAATAATTGTGGACGTGCTATCGATTCTTGTGGAATGTGCATAGTTGTTGGGATACTCACCTCCTTTTCGGTAAAGGCAGCCACGATCAACGGCGAAAAGATGCCTGGCGTGGTGCCAATGCAATTAATGATGCCGTACAGCGTGCCCGCATAGTTGGGAGCCAAGTCCTGGGAGTTGGCCAAATTTGAGGCTGTGGCAGCGCCATTGAAGCCCAGCGATATCGTCATGATGGCCACACACACATACGGATCGCGGCCAAAGTAGGCCAGGATGATGAGCATAATGCCCGGCAAGATGTGAGCTGTCAAAAAGAAAGGATTATTTATCTTCCAAATTCCATTCCCGTGCAGTAAATGGACTTACAAGGCAAGCAGAATACTTTTCGCATTTTTGTAATCGTCCACCAGTCTTTGCGGCGGATCCAATCTGCCACGCCACCGAATCCAAAGGCACAGAGTAGACGAGCCACATGAGGCAGGCTGGACAGGACGCCGGCGGAGGACAGATTGAAGCCCAGCACTTCGCTCAAGAACTTGGGTGTGGCCGTGATCAGGAAGAACAGTCCCCACATGCTGCCATAATGGAGCAACATCA